GCCTGAAACAGAAAATATCCGCTGGCTGGTTTCTAAACGACAGACGGAAACACGATCCCTTAACCAAACCCTCTGGCGGTGGTGGTCGCGTGTTCGAGTCCCAGGCACGACGAAATCCGAGGGAATTGTTATCGTTGAACGGGACACGGCTTAATAGGTAGAATAATCAATATTTGTGGATACGACCGAAATTTCTGGTCCCTCCGCGTGGCGACGCTTATGATGTTGATTCAACGTGCACGATATTGTCTGGCAAACATAAGCGGCACCAGATATTCGATTGCTCTTTCGTCGCGCTGTTTATTTAATTGCCGGGGCTGGCTGCCGACAAATTTGCAGTTCGATCACTTTATTCCCGTGTACGCGCGCGCCTGTTTGCTGGACGACCGCTGTTAGGACTCGTGGTTCGTTGGTTGGGACTTTGTTCGTCGGTTGGAGCGACGGTGGATCACTTTTGACCCATGTTTGTACCTTCGATGAAGCGAATCTAAATGGTATGTAGTTGTAGAATTTTTGTCTGGTGATCCGATGAGTAGTGGGAATTTTCTTTGTTGTTTGTGGAACGGTACTTGGATGTTGGTATTGAAAGGTTGGTATAGAAGGTGGCGAGATTTTGTAGAAAATGAGGGAACCTTTGTAGGTAGAAATTGGTAGTTTTAATTACGGTTTTGTACTTCACCTTCTTCGAAGGATTGAAATTCTAAAATTGGCAATCAAGAAGAAAACGGAAGTTGAGCTCTTTTAGTAAATATTGCTAATATAATAATAAATATAATTGGTTTCACTCCTTTATCCTATTAAAACAATCACTTCTATCATCAAGTATCTAGATTTAAACAGACTTCAGAAACATTTATGGCACGAAACTACTAGAAAATTAAACAACTCCAGAGTAACGACAATAAGCAAAACTTGTATTCGTTATTCATTCATCGAATAATCGTTGGAAGCAAACTGATACGAGCCTTTCCGTTAGGAGAATCGCAGCGACGTGGTACACGTTCATTTTGCTATCGCTTCATCCGCCATTAATGTATTCGTCTATCGGTAGCAGTAGTGTTGAGGCAACGACCGGTTCAAAGCTCGGGATGCAAATCGATACATCGAACCGATCGCCGCTAATAGCCCCGTTCCGAAAGGAGAGTTTTCAGGTTGAAATTTTTTCCGCTGCATAACGGGCCGACTCTCTGACTGAAACTTCATTACCGTGTGTGGCATCAGCATGTCGCGCGAAAGAATATCGCTGCTCTCGAACTCTGTTCGAGTTCGTTTTAACACAGTTTTCGTAAAATAATGCAATTTCTGGCCAGGATCGCGTGCAACTGTGTGTGTGTGTGTGTGTGTGTGTGTCCAGGAAAAAGAATGAACGCGAGGCCGGACGTTGTCGATACCCGTTTTACATGTCACTCGAGCCATTACCCTTCGTTAAATAGAATTTCGTTCGAGTTGGACCTCGTGCCCGACCATCGACGCACCTCTTTCACTGACTATGGACGAAGACGCGTATTAAATATTAATTGCTGACAGTTGATTTATCCCTGGTTAGGTTCGTTCAAATAGAATTTCGTTTACAATTCGACAGTCTTCATCCTTCCCGTAGTACACCGAAGTACATAGTCTGTAACACCAAAAAAGAAATTCACCTTTCAATTGTACAAACTAAAAAAACGTCCTCGGAGTCTGGAATGTACCGCTACTTCGAATTCGACGAAAGTTCTCATGCCGCTGCGTTTCTTTTTATTCGAGCACGGGAACAGAGAGTGACGGAGGGTCGCGGAATGCGAAAAGTAACACGGAGAGGTTTCGTCGTCGAACGTTATCGCGAAGCGTCCCCGAAATTCAGACGGTCTCTCAATAATTCGTGGGCATCGATCGGTTGGCTGCCTTGGCGGCAGCGAACGCTGACGTTCCACCGAGTGTCGTCGTGTCGTACACGTGGAAAGGCAGTTTGGCAGGGCGTGTGTCTCGTGAAAGAAACATTGTTCGCCTACCATCACCCCCCCTCAACCGCCTGTCTAATGGCCGAGGGGTTAATCACGACTAGGAGGCGAGTAAAGCCGGAATAAACCCCGCGGTAAAGATTTATGAACGCGTCGTGAAAAGAGGAGATTGCCGGTCCGTGAGCGCGATTCCATCTGTCCGCCAGGGATTCTCGTCTGGCCAGCGATTGTTTTCGAAAGGACATTGGTCTACAGGAGATCCAGGACCACGAGCAAACCGAATATTCAAGGTACGAGTCGTTCGTCATTCGTGATGGAGGATCCTTTTGGAGAAGTTGGATTAAACAGGCCTTGAAGTGAACTTGATTGATTAGTGGCGTTTTGCTTTTTCTTTTTTAATTTTAGTTGGATTAATAACCTCGAATGAACCAGAGCAGAATTTAAGAGACATGTATCATTATTAGAGTCCAATGTATTGAAGCTTGGACGATCCTCGTTGAGGAATTGTGATTTCCAAGAACAGAAAGCAGCAAGTACTATCGTTTTTTAATTTCTTAATTCAATTATATAGAATGCAGAGGATACTTTGGGGTTGATTTGAATTGAGATTTGGGATTGTCTTGGATGGGCTGTTCTTGTTACGAACTCTAATAGTTATACTGCCACGTCATCCAAATATGGGTTATGTTTGCAAAGAGGCTGGGTTATTCAAATATCGTGACATAATTTCTTCGTAAAATTAATATCGCAATATAATTGAAAACTAGACAAACAGCCTCTGTTAACTTAAACGCATATATTTTCAACGATTTACGACCTAAAAAACGATGTGAAGTGTGTCTGGTTATGTACGACTTTTTTCACTGTGGACAGTCGACGTGTTAAGCTCGTTAGTAATCAAGTGACTCCACAGAAGTAATAACCTTGACTTTTTCGACGAAGATAGTGGAGGAAAGAAGCGAGTCATGAGTTGACTTCATATAAAATTGAAGCGACCCAGGACGAAGATTTATGGTCGGTAACAAGCTGCATCAGTGAAGCTAGATATTGTTGGTGTCCTCCCGGAAAGGACCTTCTTCTTCCTGCTTAATTTATCGACTTCCTTCGCCCCTCTAATTAATTATTTTCACGGATAAACGTCGGGATATACCGAACTCTCGCTATCCACGCCCCACGTGATAATCCCTGCGGAAATATTTTTTCAACCGCTTTCATCGTTATCCCGCGCGAATGAAACGGAGACACCGGCGAAATGTATTCTAATAATATTTGATGTTTGAACTGGGGAAAAGTACAATCTCTTTACTTTCGTGAAGCTGGGAAAGCTCCGAGTAGAAAGAGCAGGTGCCTGGTCAGACACCCCGTATCCAATACTCTTCGCGAGACGACTAGAGGCAATTTGCCTCGACTGTTATTAAAATATTTACTGGAATTTCATGAACGTGTTCCACTAATTGCATACGACCAAAAAGTACAATACATATTTTTACGCCGTATTCACAATTATAATTGAGTGAAGTTCATTATTTTCTTATGAAATGGAGCTATTATATTTCTTCAGAATATTGCAGTGCAGTGCAATTATTTCTCGAGAAATACCATGACCGAAAGATACCATAAGGAAAACAAACTCGAAGCTTATTACAGTATTTATTCGAATCTCGTGAACCCGCCTCTCCAATATCAACGAAGATAACCATTCGAATGTCTGCGTAGTCAATTATTCTCGAAGAACTACAGGTGTTCCCAGTATCCAGACGATAACGAAAACAATCATTCCTCGAGATCGGAAGACCTCCTCGAAGAAAAAAGCCACTAGTAAATTCTTCCCGGATTCCATTCCGCGTCCTCCCTTAATGAACGCGTTTCCCTCCGAACAAAGAGCTCATTAATTAAACCGTGTTCCCCTCTGAATACATATTTATGAAACGAAGACTAATTTCCGTCCTGGAATGCAATTAAACTTATTACCAATATCGCGCCGTTCGAGGAAAAACGTTGAACGCCGGCACGATGTCAACGGTAACGGCGCGCAAGCAACGAACGACGTCGGTGTTCGAGCTAACGAACGGGAACGAAGGGATAAAACGAGAGCCCGTCCAGTTTTTATTCGTCGGCCGCGAGAGAGACGCGCCTGGCTGGCAGAGGAATCCATTTTCTCGGCAGCTGCGACGACAACGACGGTAATAATAGTAACACCGATGATAATAATTACGAGCCCTCTTATTACGCTGGTATCAGCTTTCTTCTCCCCTCTTTCTTTCACCCTCGATTCCACCCCTAAAAATTCTACGAACTTCCTCCCGTTCGAACAGATCGAAAGGAAGCCCCCCTTCGCTCGTAAATCGCCGATCGAGGCCGATTTACCGGGCGTTAATGCCAACTGGAATCAAAATCGAGCGAGCAAGCCTCGGCTGACGAATCGGCCTTGCAAGGCGTTTCGGAATCGCGGCCACCGATGGTTTTCACAGCGATTTCGGGGATGAAAGGCGAGCTAACGACGCGGAACAGCCAACGACACTTCTGATATTCCCGAACGAGCACGGATGAAGGTCATTTTTTCTTTTCCCGGCACTTTTACCATCGCGGTCCGGCCAGAGAACTTTTCCATCGTGGGAAGTAGTCTGGACGGTGTTAGGTAACGAAACGTGTATACTCGACGCGTTTTGGTCTATTAGTTTTCGAGTGTCTCCACTTAATATTTCACATATATCATTAGGAGCCTGTCTACATCTTGCAGAACCCCGTTATTTCCCTACTCAGAGCATAGTAATAATAATAGTGAACTAAAAAAATTCACCCGATAGATTGATACGATCCACGCTCGCCTGTTTCCCCTATTCACGATTTCGACCTCCGTGTTTTTTTAGAACCCACCAGGAAAAAAGAGGGATTTCATTTAATCCGAGAAAGTATCGCCGATAAAACCTTAGTCTCTTCGGAGGATTCTGTTTATACGTTTATATCCGCCGCAAGTGAGCAGTTTGTTCCGTTGCGGCGTTGCGTTTGCACGATCGACAGAGGGTCAGGATCGATCAATCTCTCTGCTTTCGGTTTCAGTGCCCATGTACACCGGCGAGCAACTAAACCTGACGAAGATCACGCGCAACGAGATGGGCGCGTACCTTTGCATCGCGACGAACGGTGTCCCGCCAACGGTCAGCAAGAGGATCACCGTGGACGTTGAATGTGAGTGAAAAAATCGATCTGAATGGATCTCGAGACATTATCAATTCCGTGCGTGTAACCGACGACAAGCCTTACGTATCGCGTTTCCTATAGAAACCGATACCTACGTCTTGCATTTTTAATTTCTCGTTACCGCGATATGCTCCTGTCGCGTTGCCCCATATATCGAAGAATAAGATCGAGGGAACGAGTTGCATAGAAAGAAATATACGAGAAAGTAAGTTAATACAAATTTAAAGGAACATGAAATAGGTACCATCGGCCGGGATCGAAACACGGATTATTCGGGGCCAAGTATTGTTTAAATTTCATTTCACGAATTGCAACCGTCGGTGTGCATCGTCTGACGAGAGGAATATGGGGGTGGGGCGTCAGGCAGATGCGCCGTTAGGAAAACCCGAGGGAAATACCCCGGTAGCTCCGCGGCGCGCTTCGAAGTCCCGGTCCCCGACGCTTCTGGTCATTTCTCCCTTTTATGCGTTCCATTCGTTCGTGTCAGTTGGCGCGAGACCGTGTGCGTACCATGGAAGCAACGGGATGCCACGGGACAGGTCGACGGTGTCCTTTGAATATTTAGAAGAGAGCCGGGCATATTTTATTTAGACCGGCAAGAAAACACTGCCTTCCGCCATTGGCCCTCGAAACACTCGCTCGGCTACTTTTGTTTTATCCCATCCTCCCCTCCCTCTCTTCGCTGACTCGCGACGCCTCTGAATAATTTTTATCTCTTTCCGAGGGCCGTGACTCTTCTGACGTTTGTTTTCGTGTTCTCCTGAACATGGGAATCGCACGTGGAATTCCGGTTGCTCGCCGATGACCGTAATTTTATTCACGAGTAAGAATCCGTCGGCCTTACCGAAGAGAGAGAGAAGGGGAATCGAATTATCCCCTAACTAAAACCGCCAGGCTGCTCGTTTCTTCCGAACGATTTGTCTAGGGTCGGCTGCCCATCAGGCTGGAATATTCTCCTCCTGGCCCTTAAATCCTGGCTGCACGGAGCAGATTGGATACTTTTGCTTCGTGTGTTCCGTTCGTACCACTTTGTGCTCCTTTGTTCAACATGTCGCGAAAAAAAGAAAGGAAAAACGACTCCGCCTGGGCCTTTGAATCGCAAACTTGATCGGGACTCGCGATCGGTTTGTCTACAGGGGAAGATCGTGGTCCAGGATATTGTAAATTTATAGAACTTTTGGTACATGGGAAGTAGGTATTTCTTCGTGAGTATTCTTTTGTAACGACCAAACTCAAGGTATTCCATCGTCTGATATCAATGGTCGTAATGTTTGAAGATACACTACTGGTTAAAAGTATGGGACCAGCTCTGATAATTAAATAAAGAGGAAAATATTATTCTACGAAGATATGGTAACAGTAATTTGTTAAAACTTGGAAATGAATTAGACATGTACTGATTTCGTGGGTTTTATTACATCGTAACAGAATAATGAGTTACTGTCCCATCAATCGTGAACTCTGGTTCCATACTTTTGGCCGGTGGTGTACGTTATTACGTTAAGGAGAGATAAAAGTGTAGTATAGATTCTTTAAAGAAAAGGGAAGCAAACGTAGGATTACCGTAGATAGCCCACGGACAGATATATTCGATCAACGCAGCTTTGGCCCGTCTCCTCCAGGATTACAGAAGTCCTTTCGTCTCGGTTGACGCGCCCCAAGACCCTCCAGAGGGACATTATACAAATTCTTGCCAAGCTTGGACAGGCTAAAGTGACAGAATAAACGATTCGACCATTCCCAGGAATATCCTATTCATTGAATCTCTGTACTGGTGTTTCCCACAGCACGCATAATTCTGTATAAAACTTCGAAGAAATCGATAGTAAATTCGAATTGGCTTCGCTGGGCGGTGTCCTTTTCAATCCCGAAGATAAATGATTATTCTCGATTATTCCTTTCGATTATTAAATACACGAGGATAACCTTCCCGTAGGATTGAATCGAATAATCGTAGCTGGAATTAATTAATTAACCATGCTGATAGGAGCAACCGTAATCTATTGACGAGGGGATGCCGATGCAAGGGAGATGAGGGTCGTAATTCAACGCGTCTACGCGCGGGAGTGTTCGTCAGGAACGTTGATGGACTGTGTCCAATTTAACGGGTCGACCATTGGCGTTCAGTTCCACCCACTTCCACCGCGGGTGACAACGAGACTCCTCAAAATGTCCAATTAATTTTGTCCTTCAAATATGCTGTATCCAAAGTCGAAGATGACGGGTTGGTTAACGTGTCTGGCCATTGCTGGTTACTTCTACTAGCTGCCATCATTTCCTCTAATAGTCGTATCTATATATCACCAATAATGATAGTTACACTAAAACTAGAGAAACTACGCACATAGTAGTTTCAAGAAATTTATTCAAACATTTATCAATTATAGCTACACATAACTTGTAAAATAACTCTTAATCCACGAACGACAGTGGTGTCTGAAATGATCACAGGATAATTCGAAGACACGAACAATCTGTCAGCGTGTTCAGATTAGCTCAACTACAGCTGATAACTATAAAGAGGTCAGGCAGAAGGGTCGGTCGAGGATGAAGGAGATCAGACTTTCGGAGGGACGTGGATAGAGTCGACGGTGGGAAATCAAGAGAAGTATGCGTTAATTAGGGTCAGTGCCGGCAATTTGTGGATTTGTGGGAAGCCTGATGCATACCGCCGATGGCTGCCCTCGAGTACAGTTGCAGTACCGCCGCGCTCCCTATTATTCGTCTATGGTTAACCCGTTCGTTTGCCGGCAGTTTCGTTCTCGGGCAGAGCCTACGGAACCGACGAATTTTTCGGCGATTAATTATCGCGTCTCCACCCACCTAGTTCCCATTAATGCACCGATGTGTCGTTAACCCCTTAGGCTTTATAACATGTATGTATCCTCTTGACGAAATTTCGCTGGCATTAATATTTAACATTCAGAATAATTGTGCGCTTGCGATAGGAGTTTCTTTTGTGTCTGGGTGATTATAAACCCTCATCTGTCCCTTGTGTCAATTTGACACAGTTACTTCCCAAGAAATGACGTTATTTTGTCATGTCTAGTTAAATTTAGCTGAGGCTTTGTGATTTTTGCTTCAAAGAATTTGCAAATTTATCTATTTATCCCTTCATTCTACCACTGGGTCTATTTGACACCGAGGGACAATTTAAGTTGGGAAAATGTGGGACACGGATTAGGGTTAACAACAAAGTAATAATGGAAATTCCACTCGTCAAGAAAATCGAAAAGGAGTTAATTAGCCCAGAACGATTTATCTACAACACTCCTTCCAGATCTAACTATATCCTTCGATGGCAGACTCGTTAGTAGTGTTCTTTGTGGAACAAAAAAAAAATTCGTGGATTGCGTTTTCATCAGCCCAGAGATCATCCAATTCGAATTTAGACCCGGTGATTGCTACGGTGTACGTACGCTCTCTAATCCAGGGAGCACTGGTCTGGCCGCGGCAAAGTTTCCACGGAGTTCTGTTTATTCCGGTCGAATTAAACTGCAGACGCCGCGCGGGTTATTTTCCACGGCGCGAGCTATCCAGGGGACGGTATTTACATTTGATCAATTCCAGGCGAACGAGAGGACCTACCGCCCCTCCCTCTCCTGGTTAGAAAGAAACTTCCTACGGTGTAGAAAGTTTTTCACCTGGAACCCCCTGCCTCGCGACCCCGATACAACGAAACCCGCTACATTTGGGTCGCGGTCGAGTCGGAAAATTGTCCCAAAGCAACGGTATTTCCCGACCGGGGAACAGGATGGAAACGGAATGATCGTGCGATTATGTTAAACGTATCTGCGTTATTGTGCCCCGACAACTCCTCGTTTCGTTCCCCGACACACCTTTGCGTCGACCATTCGAATTCGTGATGCGTAGTAATGGAAGATACCCGAACAATTCGATACTTTTGTACTTTCAACACTGGTGCATTTTGGAATAAAAAAACTGAATATTAACCCCTTCGCACCGTTAGACGAGATATCTCGTCCACCGGTGCGTAGGGGTTAATTGGAAGAACATCTCGAGCTTCCACGAGTATATAACAGCAACCATAGAAATTAATTATGACACAACTCGCTAAAATAATTATATCTGACAAAGATAAATCGCCAGGTAATAAGTATACAGGCTACGTCGTAAACGTTACCTTCGATCTAATCGCGATTACGAGATTGATCGATCGTCCTTTCAAGCCGTAACCCATTTACTCCATTAATGTTAAAGTCTCGCCGATGATCTTCGTGCCGAATCAGCTGGTCGGTGCACCAGCTGGCACGAACGTAACGATCGACTGCAACACCGAGGCGTATCCACGGGCGATGAGCTACTGGTACCTCGGGGACGAGATGATACTCTCGAACGAGAAGTACACGGCGAACATCATGGAGAACAGTTACAGGTCGTACATGAGGCTCACCATCAGGAACCTGCAGTCTGGCGACTTCGGGAACTATCGTTGCATCAGCAAGAACTCGCTGGGCGAGACCGAGGGCTCTATTAGGTTGTACGGTAAGATGATGAACGACTCCGATTAAAGTTACCCCTTACATAGATACACGTGCACACCGTTAACACCGTGCCACGTGGTGTTTTCTGTTGTGCGATCGAAAATTTCGATCAAATCATAAAGATCGCGAATTAACTCATTCCATGGCATGTCTGAGCCATGGAAACGTGTTATAATATCACTTTCTGTTGAATCAGTTTTTCAGTTGATTCGGATTAGGTACTATGAATGACACTGGATCGAAAATCTCCACTTTGAAATCTTGTTACATACGAGTGTATTAGTATTATCTAGATTGTCTACGTAGATTTTGTCTACATTTTTCTACCTATCTTTTACAGTCATAGTCTATTCTAATGTAATTGTTGCACAATATCAGCTCATGGTGTACGAAAGATTAAAAAGGAATCAATTGAAACACAGTGATCCAGAAATTTGTTCACACAGGACAGCGATGTTCGTTTAACCAAATTACATATCAAACCGTAAATTTTGATTCCGAAGAATTTATTATAAAAGAATGGTAGAATTGAAGGTAACATGAATAAACTTTTGAAAGAATTTCTTTCGAAATTACGTGAACAAATCTGTGGATCACTGCAAGCATTTCCATACTCCTCGAGCTATATAATTGAATCCTAGACACCGTAGTCCAGCGATTTCGAAGTACACGCGATGAAATCAATGATCAAGCGCCAAAGAACAGGGTCAGCGAAAGCTTGTAAAATTTCATAAGCCACTAGCCCCGGCTCCCGGGATCGTTTAACGCGCCTCGAAAGCCCCCCAATTCCTCGAACAAAGTTCGATCATCCCCGACGATGGGTTATTCAGCCGCCGTCTGAACTGAAACTCATCGGCTGGGCTGTTCGATTCGGGGGTTGGGTTACGGTTCAAAGGGTAGAGGAAGTCTGCTGCCCCTCAAAGTGGATAATTTTTATTTCAGAAATTCCGAAGCCGTCCGCGGCGCCGAAGGCCACCGAGATCAAGAGCAGCGCCAACAAAGAAGGTGAGAGAGCCTCATTGAATATATCGCACTATTTCATGATCGATATCCGCGTAGATCCTCGCCGACGCTTACCCTCTATCGCGAACTTCGTTACCGGTTTTTATATTATTCTCAAGTCTCGGTTGATGGATCTCCACGTGTTCATGTCGAAACGATTCGGTAATGAGGTATAGGTCGTAGGTGCAACGTGGTTGTTAGGGGAAGAAAAATAACGCAAAAAGTAATGTATTTCGTTAAACGGTAGCATTAACCTGTTACAGACTCCTCTCGATTATCGTCTGGTTTGTCCTACACGATTATTATCCAGGCATTATTCCAAACGCATACTTTATTGCCGAAACTCGTGCTTTGGGAGAAAAAAAGGAAATTACGAGGGTCTGAAAGATTTCTCCCTATAAGATTGTGGGGGAAATTCGATCGCACGTATGAATCAGCCTTTTCTCGTGACGCTCGAACGATTATTAAACGCCGTCGTCGGTCGATCGGATGAAACAATTTCGCGGGAGATCGACGGGTTTGCTCTGCTAGTCCAAACAATTTGGTCTCCGTATCGATTCGCTTCACGCTTGGTTTGAACGCTATAAGGACCCAGGACCGACCTAAGGCATCTTGGCTTTACGCTCAATCTGTCCTTGATTTGTTCGAAGCTCAGGCTTAATTATCGACTGGCAAAATAACGGGATACCTTTTTTGTTTATTATGTATTACTTTGGCTGATAGTAAGTCTACAATTCGAACTCAGATAAGCATCGTTTAAATACATGAACGATGATCGTCGATTTACTTCCCACCAACCATAATAACATGCAAAATTTCTTGCTTCTCGGCATTATGCAAAGTTATCCGATCTAAATAATAGGTCGAATTTTCTATCCCCACAAAAAGGAAACCTTCCCAGATCTCTGAAAAATCACCACTAATAAATTCCACGGTACAATCAGGTCGCAAACTAGAAACAATTGGAGATTCAATGTACTCAGAATTTTATTCGTGAAAGGCTGTCACTTCTATTACACCAAATTGTTTACCGATACGAATTTTATTTACAAATTAACACAAATTTATTACAAAAGGATGATAAAACTAATGTTAAAGAGTATATAAATAGAAATAGCATAGAACTCCTTACACCTAATTGCTATTCCAAAAGTATACGAACAAATATAAACACCAGCAGTAATTGGGACATTTACCCCACTGTAGATCGCAACTTGCCAGTCGACGGATAGCAGTGAAACGGGTCGCGATACCAACCTCTCAATGAACTAATCCCGGACACACGGTGGGGACTTAGGCGTCTCAAAAGGGAACCCGTCTCGAAACGATCGTTTTAGGTTCGAATAGGGCGATCCTCCTTCGCGTGGCGGCGCTCACGAACGTTCTCTCGTGGTCTTTACATTAGTCGAATCGCGAGAGAGCGGTGCGCCCTACATTGGCGGGTGTATTATTAAAGGGGGAGCGCGAATAACTTGGGCGGATGCCTAGGTCAGGTCCCTGTGGCTCTGGCCCCGGTGTTCTCGCTGCGAAACCAATCTCAATATGCTGCATTATTAACGCCATACAAGGCTCGGCCACGACGGTATTACCGCCATTAAGCTTCGCAATTTTACCCAGGCAGCAGCAGCAGCAGCAGCCTTACCTGCTGCCCGGTAACCTGGATTATTGTTATACCGTGAGCACACCGTTCACGATGTACACCTTTCATCGGGGTAATTGCGACCCGTGGATTTTCGCTTGGGACCGTACGTTCTACGGGAACTTTCGCCGCGCCCCGCAGCTTCCATTTTAACCGACGGGGGTGGCTCGATTGTTCGATACGGAATGCAATTTTAAATCGTTCCCCCGCGGCGGGATGCCCGTTTCGAGGCTATTGTCTCGCGAATTACACCAACTGGGACACGCCGGAGATATCGTATTCAGAGGTTTCGTTCCCGCCTTCGAGGAACGACTCTCCGCGGAAACGAATAAGTGGATGGGAGGTCTTGTACTGGGGGGATTAAAAAGTGGTGGAGGGGATTCGGGGGAATTTTTAAGAGGAATCGAATTTTAGAGGGAAAGTGTATCGATGATGTAGAATGAAGTTTCCTTCTCGAGGAGAACTAGCTCGAAGAGATATCGGAATGTGAGGAATATACGAGGTGCCTCCGAAAGCTATGTATTGTACAAAGGGGCATGAGGTGTGATTCCTTGTAAAAGATAAGAACAGAATATAAAATGATACTATTTTATTCGAGGCTTCGTTTTAGAGAAAATTCAATTTGAATGCGCGTGTAATTGAATAGGACTTCGCTAGCATGTCTGTCCTTTTTAGTCTGTTTCTACTTACTACCATGACGAATACGGGCATTTCAGATTAATGTTCATAGTAATGAAAACGAAGTCACAAATGAATTATTTTTTCACGCAGAATAACCTCGTGCCCGTTTGTACATAGCTTTCGGAGGCACCTTGTCTACGTCTGACTATTGCACGACTTTTTCTACTTAACATAAACCGTACGGTACGATCTGTTTCCCGTCGATTTTACTATCTTAATTACTTAAATTACAAAACTAGAAGTATTTTTGTGTGATTAACACATTACTTACAGGCTGCTATTTAACAAGTTTAGTAGATCCAACGATTAACAGTCAAGAAAGTATTATTAAACAGTTCAATCGCAGTAGCGAATTCCATTCATGAAAAATAGCAAGAACTCTAATAGAATAACGCGACAATTTCTTCTTTAATCCTGATCGGAAGGAAACTGAATAGGCTTCTTATCCATAAGCATTAAAATTTTAAATTAATAGGCTACCGGTCAATAAAGTGTTAAACAAAGAGAAGATACGTCAGTCGATCTTCTCACAGTGCAAACACTTGAGTTGTCGCGTAGAAGCGTACGCAAACAGTTAGTTGTAGCATGCGCTACAATTAGGAATCAGCAGGACAGTTCCACACGCACGCGACGGTCAATTATCATTGAGCAGTGTGTGCAGAGCACGCATGTGACCAATAGAAGCTAATACGCGTCCGTGGAACACGTACCACGGTAATAGCGCAGAAACTTCCTCTCTAATTCCGAAAACAAAAAGCTTGCCAGCCCACAGGCTTCTACCTGCAACTTCGCAGAAATGATACGTGACTCTGCACAAGTACAATCTTTTAATCATCCAATATTCCATCAGTCCTAACACAGTACTACTTATTCATAAAACTTCTCAACTGTCGAGGAATCCGATTTCTTCTTACAAAGGAAGAAGTCCAACTGTCAGACTTCGATTTTAACGGGGTTCTATAAAATTATTTTATAGACACGCGATAATTTTAAAGATGTAAACTATCAAATTTACGTACCTTTTATATATACTATGCATAAAAGTTAAATTTATTAAACTATAAGGTTATTTAGCTGGTAAATCGGGAGTCCTGGGATCGATTCCCGTTCACCGAAATATTTTTGTTCTACTTTTCCAACGCAACTTCAAAATTATCGAATGTTCACAGCTAGTATTTCTATCGTATTACTATCATCTTACAAAACTCTGGTAAAATCGAAATCGGAAAATTGGGGATCCTTCCCTTGCCAGATGTTACGTTTTTCCTGTGCTTCCAAGGTAATCCGAAAGCAATATGGCCGCATAACGGCGCTCTCGAACTCGAGTTTCGGGCGTGTATCGGGTCAGGCTATGTGCAACGGTTGGTTTCTCGTAATACGCGAAATGATTGACTGCGCGACCAGCGGGAAACTTTCGTGGAAATCGGCCCGGTGGCTGGCTGGCTCCGTGTTCGTCGCCCGGCACGGAAATCAATCTTAATATTGGCGAATTATTAATGACCCCGGGCCACGCCGCGTAATAACTCACCGAGGAGACGTTAAGCGCCACCAGAACAGTTTTCAATGGGACCGCCTTCCCTCTTATCTGGCCCAGATAAGATTCGGGGGGCTTGCTGCGAGACCCTCGAATTTGATGTATCGATCGACACGGTTCGCGACGAAACTCGTGCATTAAGTAACCGGCGGGAATGTTCAAGTAACTGGTTCAGAGAAACGAAAGATCAGGAAGAGGAGGATTCTTGAGGATTTCGAAGGTTTGAATGATTGTCAGTAGTTTTAGATACTTTGTTACGGCAGAGTTTGTCGCTAGTATGAATAAAGATTTAGTTAAAAATTTTCCTTCTCTAACCTGAAACGTGCTATTCGCAGTCTAGTTATGTTTAGGTTACAAGAAACACTTAGTTGTGAATGACTATAGTCACATTTAGTACACATTAAGCACTCGACGTTGGGTGACCAGTTATGTTAGTAACGAATGGGTTTAGGAAAAGCGTCACTGTCGTTTCCCTTATCCTTCGAATTCCGAGGAGCGTAGAACCGATCGATTCGATATTATAATTTTATATCGCGGCGTTACATAGCCGTTGACCCAATTAACCACATTTAAAATTCAATTACCGCTAGGGGGTGGGGGAATAAACGTTGCGCCGCAGACCGAATTGCACGGTCGTCGATAGGTTTCCCGTGGATTCGGCATCCATTCGCTAGATTTTCTCGCGAAACAGAGATGCCCACGAGAATACGAGTCAACAGTGTCTCTATTTGCCAGAGTAAATCTTAGTCCAGCTTCTATTCCACGTGAGACAATAGACGTAGCGAATGCATAGTATCCTCCGTAATACAAGTTACATTGCAAAACTTCATGCTCTGGTAGTCTAGGCGGATTAACGCTAAGTATCTCGCCCTCGTAGAAACATTTAGCCCCGCGGATGGTAGTCTTAGACAGTCTGATAGTGTGTTTGCTTACGCGTCGTAATTTATGCGAAGTTGGATCGAACGTGAGACGAGAATTCCAGGAGCGCGATTGTTAAAGCGTACGACCTGCTTCTCGGAATCGTGGGAGATGAGGGAGTGAGCCTTTTGAACCTTCGCACGGATAGTGCCAAATCAGGTCGATTTTCTTGATCGATTGAATTTATTCAACTGAATTATTATATTGTAATTGAATCCGACTGTTATAGTT